TCCTTAGAAAGAGCGTGTTCTACCGCTGCTGGCGGAAAACCGGGGGGGGTCACTGGGGGTTCTTAACCCGTCCCCCCCCCCCCCCAAAACGGGGGGGGGGGGTCACTACTGGTTCGAACCCCCCCCCCCCAGTCCATCATGAAAAGGGGGGGTGTCACTACCAGTTTGAACCCCCCCCCGCTCGAAAACCGGGGGGGGTCACTACCGGTTCGAACCCTCCCCCTCCTCCCCTCGAAAACTGGGGGGGGGTCTCTACCGGTTCGAACCCCTCCCCCCCCCTCGCCGCCGGCAAACGATGCCCGCTCCTCGGGACAGTCGGAGAATGGTGGGGATGTTGGGACAGTGGTGGGAACGGTGGTGGTGGGGACGGTGGTGCGGGGACAGTGGGACAGTGGTGCGGACATTGGTGGGGACTGTGGTTGTGGGGATTGGTGAGGGGACAGCGGGACAGTGATGGGGGCAGTGGGACAGTGGTGGGGACGGTAGTGGTGGGGACAGTGGTGAAGGCAGTGGTGAGGACAGTGGTGGGACAGTCGCACAGTGGGGAAAATGGTGGGGACAGTGGGGACAGTGGGACAGTGATGGGAACAGTGGGGACGGTGGGACAGCACAGTGGGACAGCGGCGGGGACAGTGGTGGGAACAGTGGGGACAGTGGGACAGTGGTGGGGACCGTGGGGAAAGTGGGGAGAGTGGGACCGTGGTGGGACAATGGTGGGGAGAGTGGGGACAGTGAGACAATGGAGGGGGCACTGGTGGGGACAGCGGGGACAATGGTGGGAACAGTGGGGACAGTGGGACAGTGGTGGGGACGGTGGTGGTGGGGACAGTGGTGTGGGGACAGTGTGAATGTGGTGGAAACAGTGGGACAGTGGAGGGTACAGTGGTGGTGGCGACAGTGGTGAGGGCGGTGGCGAGGACGGCGGTGGGATAATGGGACAGTGGTACAGTAGGGATAGTGGTAGGGACAGTGGGGACAGTGGTGGGAACAGTGGGACAGCTCAGGGGGACAGCGGCGGGGACAGTGGGACAGTGGGGACAGTGGTTGGGGTCGTGAAAGTGGGAGAGTGGAACCGTGGTGGGAACAGTGGTGGGGACAGTTGTGACAGTGCGACAGTGGTGGGGGCCCTGGTGAGGACAGTGGTGACGGTGGTCGGAACAGTGGGGACAGTGGTGGTGAGGACAGTGGTGCTGGGGACAGCTGTGGGGGATGTGGTGCGGACGGTGGTAGGGACTCAGGGTTGTTTGCTGGCGGCGAGCGTGTGGGGGGGGAGGGGTTCGAACCGGTGGTGACCCCCCCCTTGGTTTTCGAAAGGGGGGGGGTTCGAACCGATATTGACCCCCCACCGGTTTTCGAGAGGGGGGGGTTCGAACGGGTAGTGACCCCCCCCGCGGATTTCCGGAGAGGGGGGGGCTTCGAGGGGGGGGGGGATTTTCGGACGGGGGGGAGAGCCCCGGGCTCCGGAGGAAGAGGGGGGGGAATTCTCCACAGTAAAGCGGCGGTGGATCACGCTCTCTCTCCCTTAAGTACGATGTGACCTTCCAGGAGGGCAAAAAAAATAGCATCAGGACGTCGACGTCCTAATTCCTGTCGAGGTTTGAGGCAGTCCAGATCCAGATCGACCTATAGGTCTGGAGAGCTATTTCCCTAAACAGCTTGCTGAACGGGGCGCTGTTGTGATAGAAGCTAACTCCGGCCGGGGGAAAGGGGAGCAGAGACATCCTCACAAAAATCTGATGGTCTGGGTCGTTTCGCTTGAGACATCCTCCGGGCCGTTTCGCTTGAGACATCCTCACAACTCTCGTTTCTGAGTTGGCCGGGCTTGGGCGTTTCGCCTGGGACATCCTCGACACTGGGCTTCTGAGATGCCGCGCGAGAGGTGGTCCGGCCCGTTTCGCCTGAGACATCCTCGACACTCTGGGCTCTGAGATGCCGCGCGGGAGGTGGTCCGGCCCGTTTCGCCCGTTTCGCCTGCGACATCCTCGAAACTCTGGGCTCTGAGATGCCGTGCGCGAGGTGGTCCGGCCCGTTTCGCCTGAGACGTCCTCGAAACTCTGAGCTCCCAGATGCCGCGCGAGCTGTGGTCCCGCCCGTTTCGCCTAAGACATCCTCGAAATTCTGAGCTCTGAGATGCCGCCCGAGAGGTGGGGCGGCCCGTTTCGCCTGAGACATCCTCGAAACTCTGAGCTCCCAGATGCCGCGCGAGAGGTGGTCCGGCCCGTTTCGCCTGCGACATCCTCGAAACTCCGGGCTCTGAGATGCCGCGCGAGAGGTGGTCCGGCCCGTTTCGCTTTAGACATCCTCGAAATTCTGAGCTCTGAGATGCCGTGCGCGAGGTGGTCCCGCCCGTTTCGCCTGAGGCATCCTCGAAACTCTGAGCTCTGTGATGCCGCGCGAGAGGTGGTCCGGCCCGTTTCGCCTGAGACATCCTCGACACTCTGGGCTCTGAGATGCCGCGCGGGAGGTGGTCCGGCCCGTTTCGCCTGAGACATCCTCGAAATTCTGAGCTCTGAGATGCCTTGCGCGAGAGGTGGTCCGGCCCGTTTCGCGTGAGACATCCTCGAAACTCTGAGCTCCCAGATGCCGCGCGAGAGGTGGTCCAGCCCGTTTCGCACAAGACATTCTCGCAACTCTGAGCTCCCAGATGCCGCGCAAGAGGTGGTCCAGGCTGGGGGCCCAGAAGACCACATGTTACATATCCCCCCTGGGACCCTGGGAGCCTCATGAGGCCCAGGACAGGCCCCAGGGGTCCCCAGGAGATTCCCGGGAGGCTCCCAGGAGGCCCCAGGAGGCCCCCTATCAGAACGTGTCAAGTTGAAACGCATTCGGTTCCGATTCGTTGATTTTTCCTGCTCTTGTGGATTTTTCCTGCTCTTGTGCCCTCCCCATTTTGGGGGGCCCAGACGGTTAGATATCCCCCCCTGGAAAGGAAGCCCCAGGTCGGGTCCAGGAGGCCACAGGAGGCCCAGGAGGGGAAGCCCCAGGAGGTCCCCAGGAGGCCCCGGGTGGCCCCAGGAGGCCCCCGCAACTCAGGAGCTCTGAGACGCCGCGCTTGAGGTGGTCTGGCCCGTTTCGCCTGAGACTTCCTCGCAGCACGTTTCGCCAGAGACATCGTCGCAACTCTGGGGTCCGAGATGCCGCGCGCGAGGTGGTCCAGCCCGTTACGCTGGAGACATCCTCGCAACTCTGGGCTCCGACATGCCGTTCGGGATGAAGAGGAGGTGGAGGAGGAGGAGGAGATGGAAGGAAAAAGGAGGAGGAGGATGTGGATGAGGGAGCAGGCAGGAGGAGGAGGAGGAGGAGGAGGAGGAGGAGGAGGGAGAAGGAAGGGAGTTGCAAGAGAGGACGTAACGGGAAGCGAGTGTGACGTGGACTTGTCAGAACGTGTACGAGAGGTTGTCCGGCCCGTTTCGTTTGAGACATCCTTCTACTACTGAGCTCCAAGATGTCACTCGCGAGGTGGTCCGTGCCGTTTCGCTTTAGCCTTCTCACAATGCGAAGCTCGAAGATGTTGCGCGCGAGATGGTCTGGCCCGTTCTGCCTGAGACGTTTCGTAGCACAGGGGCTCCAATCACAACCTCTCTCATTCCTTCTCCCGCCTCCCTCTTTCCGCTTCCCGCCTGGCTCCTCTTCCCTCCTCCCTCCTCCTGCCTCCCGCCTCCCGCTGCTGCGCCTCTGGACGCACTGGACGGGCACGCAATCGGCCTTAGAAACCGCAGTGGGTTTAAAAACCCTGTTTGGGGATACTGCACTCCGGCTATAATTTTTAGCACTCTGGGAGGTCAGGGTCGTGGGCATGCTGACCAATGAGCTTTTCGGTGCCCCCGTCCAGCTCGCATCGCTGGTGCAGCCAGCTGCTCTGCCTCGCCGCTGGCGGGGGGGCAGCGCGTGGGCTCTTCGAGGTGCCGAGGGGGCCGCTGCTCAGTGTGCGCCCCCGGGGGCAGAGCGGCCCAGTGGCGCGGACCCGGAGCGGGGACGCAGCTGCCGGTACCACTGCACCTAAGTCGGGCGTGTCCCTCTACAGGAGGAGCATGCAAAGATAGTAAAAAATAAAAAAGTAGTCAGGGGACGATTTTGGGACTATTTTTGATATTGCGGCTCGTTTCTGGGGTATTGTTGTTTCGTCCAAAGTCCGCCTGTAGGGGAACATGCCCGATCTTACACTACACGCCGGTCGGTGAAAACAGGTGTTTTTAGACCCCCAGGTCCAAATTGGCTTCAAGGGCCTTCCTATACTTCAAGAGCCGATATATGCTCTGGCTGTGTTCTGGGCGTCCTCGTGGGAGGGCCTGGACCCAATCTACACGATACGCCGTCCTGCTGCATGTTTCGACCTGCTTCTTCCGACCGGTGTGCACCGGGACCACCACCTCCTCCCTTGTCGCCGTGGAGCAGCGGTGTTGGTGCCTCTTGTTGCCCCCAGTGTCGGCGGCCAGGCCCCCACGGCGTGAAGGCAGGAGCTTGCCGCAGGTCGCCCGCGGGTGTGCGGGGATCCGCGCCAGAAGGCTGTCCCCCCTGCCGCGCGGCGGCCCGAAAGCGCGAAGTGTGTCTGAGACAGGTCGCCTTTCGCGTGGCGCGAAGGTGCGAGTTCGAGCGGCATGGATCCAACAAACACCCCTTGGGGTGGGTGGGAGGAGTCCACGGTGAGCTCGTGTCGTGTCGACATTGCGGCGACCCTGGCGCGGGCGCCCAGGGTTGAACCCCGCGGGTGGCCCAGGATCGGCCAACATGGCAAGGTCTGGCCTTCGGGAGGCCGGCGCGCGTTCTAGGCTAAACGATACACGCAGCGTTCATCGTCAGGAGAGGAGCTTGCCGTAGCGTTCAGTCGGGCGTGTCCCTCTACAGGAGGAATATCCCAAATTAGTAAAATAAAAATACCTTTTGGCGCTATCTAGCATGTGTTTACTATTTTGATTGTTCTTGCGAAGTCCGCCTGTCGGAGGTCATGCCCGACCTAACCGTACCGCCCGCGCGTTCTTTTCTCGCGCGCGTGCCGCAAGGCGGCCGAGATCTCCGACGTGCGCGGGCGCCTCGGGCGGTGGGCGTCGCCGCCCGCCGCGGCCGCGGGCCTCCGCGGGAAGCGGCGCAGCATTCTGGCTCTTGTGGGGCCTCCTGGCTGCGCACCGGCGCCGCCCACCGGGCAGTGCGTGCAGCTCGACGTGGGGATGGCGGAGGTGGGGCCCAAGGCTCAAGTCGGGCGTGTCCCTGTACAGGAGGAATCCTCAAAAATAGTCTAACAAAAATATGGTGGCGATTTTGTGTGTATTGCATGTCTTTCAAGTTTTGAGTCGGTTATTTGTTTGTCCAGAATCTGGCTGTAGGAGGACACGCCCGACCTAACGTTAGTAGACGGGCTGGCAGCTAAGTGTGCGTTTTCAAGTGTTTGTGTGTGCGTGTGTGTGTGCTCAGAAAATGGATTTGCCGCGCGCAGGTGCGAGGTACCAAAGGTCATGATGACGTACCGACGTTTTGGCTGTCCCAGTGTATCACGTGCCAGTGCGAGGTGAATGCCCTGTCGCCCCGTTCCCGCTTGAAGAGGCCACTTAGCTACTGCCTCGTTTATAGGCGCCCCGTTTGCAGCGGCTTTGTGGGCGGGCGACCGGCTGCCGTTTGTGCAAGCCAAGCGGCACTCAAAGCACTACCAAACCGCATCGGTCATAACTCGATACGTTTCGATTTCTCTCGATCTGCCTCGAGTTTTCAGTCGGACCTGACGGCGCGCTCCATTTTCGCCCCCACCGTTGGCGCCACCCCCAGTGTGGAGCTGAGGGACTGGCTGGCCTCAGCGGGCTGGGGAAGTGTGTTCGACAGTGCGGACACTCGCGCGCAAGTTGCCCGCGGAAGGTCGCGATTCAGCGCCCTCGTGTCCAATTCAGCGTGCCGCACCAGCGGCCCTCGCAAGCCGCGGCGTAAGCGTCTTCTTGCGTATGGCCCAGTTCTTTTCGTCGCTCAGCTGGGCTCGACCAGACCCCCGAGTACCCATCGGTCGTTGAGATTCCCAGTGCCCAATCTGCTTTAGCCGCCCTCCTAGTTCAAGAGTCGAGTGGTTTTCCTTCTACCCGCCTCTACAGGAGGCGGTCGGATACCCAATCTTCCAACGCTTCTACATACTTCTTCCGACCGATGGGTATTGAGACCGCCTCGGAGTACTCTTGGGGCCTGTTGAGGCCAGCTGGGACCAGCCTGGAAGCCTGTTGAGGCCAGCCGGGACTACCTGAGGGGGCCGTCTGTGCGCAACCCGAAGCCTTACCATCCGGTCTCACTGTAAGTTCGCTGGCGATTCCTCTCCGCCACTGCCCGAGTTGCCCCCGCCCAAAAAATTGGCCGCTCAGAAAGAAGTGGAACTCGCGAAGGCACCCCCAGAGGGCTGTGCGGACGCAGCGCTCTCGAGGATGGACGTCCCCTTATCGTCTATCCCCGAGTTAGGCCCCGAGCGTCTCTCGTGTCCACAGACTCAGGGATTGGGGTCGCCATACACCCCCCTCCTAGGGCTCTTTTCGGCTCCTCCGATTCGATTCGATTTCGACGGCTTCCGATTCCGATTCGATTCGACTTGGGATTCCGATTCGGTTTCCGATTTCTTACTGGAGGCTTGCTAGCCTGCCGATTTCTGCCGATTCCACTTTTCCCGACTCGGCTGCCGAGTTCCGCCGATCCGACTCATGTCGACTTCCGATCCGACTTGTCGATTCGATTCTGGGCTCTCCTGCATCCGGCATGCAAATTGTATAATAAGTTCTTGCCCATTCCGACTTTTGCGTTGAAAAAGTGGCGATTTGTTTCCCTTGGGGAATCCTGTACGTATTCGTTGGTGCAACCAATTCCTTTGCTCAGGTACACTTCCTTGTGCACGCGATTCCGTTGTGGGATCACGCTTCAATGAGGATCAGGATGTAGACGGCCACGAGAATGGATTGGGAGGGACAGAGGCAGGAAGTTAGCGGAATGGAAGCGGAACGAGCAAAGAGGCACACCAACAGACGAAGGAGGAGCCGGAACAAAATCAGAAGGAGGGATGTGGATGGTGAGCGTCAGGCAGAATAAGAAGGAATGAGTGAAGCAGGTGGAGCAGCAGGACGGAGAAAACGAGGATGTTTCGGACGATGTTGACGAGGACGAGGGCATGGACGAGAGGAGAGGAAGAGCAGGAGAAGGAAGAGGAAGGGATACGAGGACGGAGGATATAGGCGGGAGGGCGAAGGAAGGAGTCTTAAGGCAGGAGGGGGGGGGGGAGAGGAAGGCTGACCTGACGGTTCATCCGTCCCTACACCCTGCTTGCCATTTCCGCCCCTCCGGTTGGTGCCATCCCTTTGACTCCATGCGCGCGCAGGAGGGGTCGTCGGTCTTCAAGTTGGTGGGGCCCGTCATGGTGAAGCAGAACGTGGACGACGCAAAGGTCAGCTCGCCGACCTGCTGAGGGTCCACTTCGATCTGACCGATCCGATCCGATCCGGCCCGCCCGGAGTCGATTCCGAGGTTCCGTCGATCCGATGCGGCCTGGCGCGGCCGATCTGCCGATGCGGACCCATTCGGCTTACAGTGGGGGTCCATGCCAAGAAACACCCTGCTTGCCTCCAGGGTACCCTGGGTTGCTTGGGTTTCGATGGTTTTGCGACGGGAAACGTAACGTTCCCACGCCAAGAATCAGGGGTCTCAAGGTTGGGTTTCCTGTGGAAGGTTTCTTGTGGACTGGCCTCCGCTGTACATGCCGAACCGATCTGATTTGCTCGATTCGATGTTCATCGAGCCTGCCCGCTTGCCCCTCCCGGGGCCTCCTCTCAGCTCAGATATCAGTCATGGAGGTGCCCGCTCATCTTGGATCGAATGTGTATCGGCGACGAGTGTCCACTGGTGTTCAAGACAGCGCCCAGTAGCGACGAAAGGCGCTCGAATAGCGCCCAACAGCGACCGACAGCGCCCAATAGCGCCATGCGAGGGAGATGCACGATGTCCGCTCTGCGCGCAACTCGGCGCTCCTCTTACGCGCCCAAGGAATGAGCACAGGCTTCCGCCAGTTGCCTTCTAACTACTCGTGGCATTGATGCCACACATTCGAAGAAAAATAAGAAACCACATAAACATAGACTTGTGGCGCTCCGCGCGGATTGATTGGATCCGCGCCCGGGCCCCCCCCAGAGGCGCCTCCAGCGCCGCCCTTGGATCCGCCTCCAGCGCCTCCAGCGCCTCCAGCGCCAGGTGGCGGGGTCCAGCGCGAATCCAAGAAATCCGCGCGGAGCGCCAAAAGTCTATGTCTATGTGGTTTCTTCTTCTTCTACACATGCGACGTGCGCCCACCGCGCGCTGACCCGGGTCGCCCGCGCGGGCGCAGGCAGGTCACCGCGCTCCGGCACCGCCCGGCCACCGGGCGTCGCCGCTGCTCCCTGCGGCGCGGCGCGAAGTTCAGACGTCGTTGGGACAACCGAAGACTCGGTGGCGAACTGATCGGTCTCAGGTTGGGTTGGGGTGGAATTGTAGGTGGTGGCTGATGGCGGAACAGCTTCGGTCCTTTCCTTCTGGTGAGCCAGCAGGTGACCGCGCCCCGCCCTTCAACGTGGCGACCAACCAGACGCTGCCAGTGCGCTTCATCCTCCGCCAGCTGTGCAGCATCTCTGCATACCCAGTGGCTGCAGACCGCATAGATCTGTCTGCGCCGTACCGCGCCCGACGTGACTGCGATGAGATCTACAGCTACGCCAAGCTCGGCCTGGGCTACAATCCGACATTGAAGCCAACGCCGTTCAGTATTTCTTCAATCCAGAAGGGTATCGCAAACTACAAGAGGTGAACGTCACCCTCAATGTCGACACGGGACCTGCCATGCAGATGCCCGCCGGAGCGTCATTTCTTGCCCTTAGCACCCACAGTGTTACCAGCGCCCTTGCCGATTTCGGTCAAGCAACGTCACGCGCCACCAGGGTAGAGGTGTTGCGAGGCCGAAATTTATCATCGCTTGGGAAAGTACGAATCGAAGTTGCTACCTTCTCATGCTGAGTCGCATCAGTATCACGAACGTGTGGCAGGGCTATGGGGTTCTCACCGCATCAGCTTTCCCAAGTCACGAACGCGCGGCAGGGCCATGTGATTCTTCCCAGTTCAGTTTTCCCAAGTCACCAACGCTAAGTAGGGTCATGGGATATTCGTCATCTCGGCCTTCAGGTCACGAGCGCGTGGCAGGGTTCTGGGACTGTCACCACTCCAGGTTGCCCAAGTCACGAGTGTGTAGCAGGGCCGCTGGATTCTCACAGTTGCAGTTTTTCCAAGTCACGGTCATGTGGCAGGGCTGCGCGATGCTCACCATTTCAACCTTCCCAAATCACGAATGCGTGGCCGAGCCATGGCATTCCCACCCCGCCAGGGGGGAGCCGCCAAAGCGCGAGCGGCGAGGGAGCCCCCGCGTGGGCCCGCGAGTGCATCCGTGCATCCGCACACCGTTCATCCGTACACCCCGCGTATGCTGCAACACGGTTCGACACTTGGTGCGTCCATGCACCCGCACATTCCGTACACCGTACATTTGTGCACCGTGCACCCGCACAGGCGAGTTGTTTGGAAATATGTTGATCATTCCCCAGAGCCCTAAACTATATCATCTCTGGGGTTGAATTATCGTGGGCACGGGGGCGGGTGGGTCCACGGCAATGTGGGGTATCTGAATCTCCCGTGTCTTTATCACCAACAGCTGATCTGGCGTACCATTTGCACCTACGGCGGCTACAGCTATAAGAAGCAATTCTACGCAGTGGCCTCGCGGCCGAACAGGCCCCAAAGCCCGACGTGGATTCCTCACACACGCATGCAGATTACCTGACGCATTGCCAAAACACCAGCTGCGTGTGGCCGCGTGGATGGAACAACCCACTCCCGAGACTGGTGGATAGAGCTCTTTCATGCACCTCCTTGGCGGTTACCTTAATCGCCAGTTGAGTGTTGCGGCCTCGGAAGCGATAACACGAAGAGCACAACTTGTCCCTACCCGGCATATTGTTTCCTGGCTTCACTTCCACCCTTCCGCCCCGCACCCCCCCTCTGTTCGCCCACCTGACCTACTCTGTCCCATTCTTTTGGTGGCAGGGCGGGTGGGGGTGTCCTCAGCGGGGGTGGGGGAAGGGACAAGAGGGCCCCACCGCCAGCTGTCTTGGCAAGGGCAATGCCGGCCGCGACGATGAGTCACTGCTTAGGCCCATGCAAGCCCAGCCACCATCTGTCTCAACCCCGCCTCTTTTGTCTGTTCGTGCCGCCTTGCCACCGCCTAGTTCCAGCCTACCTCCACTTTCGCCTCACCACCTGCGGGGTGGGCGGGGGGAGGTACTGTCTGGACGCCCGAAATGCCCAACAGCAGTTCCTGCTCATTTTGAACAGGACTCGCTGTCGGTGTCGCCGCAGCCGTGTACATTTGAGACAGAATGCCGCCTGCCCAACAGCGGCCGCTGTTGGTTTGGGACAACATTTGTTGTTGGGCATTGTATCATTTTTTCCGTACCCATTTCGGGCGTCCAAGTAACGGGGTGCAGGAAAGGGAACCGTCCCTGGCTGCATTGGCGCACGCCAACGCAGTCGCGGCATCCATGCTGGCAACCAAGAACGTCAGCGTCTCACGCTCTCCTGATCTAGAGGCGCCCCTTCTCCCACTCCTGCGCAGCGGCGGGCACGCGGCCCAGCCACTCGCCAGCCAGCGCCACTCGTTGCTCGACCTCGGCGGACCACCTGC